CATCACCAGTATCAGCACAGCACCAGCATCAGTACAGCACCAGTGTCAGCACAGCAACAGCATCAGTACAGCACCAGCATCAGCACAGCACCAGCACATCACCGACAGTACAGCACCTCGTCAGCACAGCACCAGCACAGCATACACCAGTCCAGCACAGCACCAGGTCAGTACAGCACCATCAGTACAGCACCAGCATCAGTACAGCACCAGCATCGTACATCACCAGTCGCACAGCACCAGCATCAGCACAGCACCAGTATCAGCACAGCCCAGCATCAGCACATCACTGCGTCAGTACAGCACCAGTATCAGTACAGCACCAGTATCAGTACAGCACCAGCATCAGTACATCACCGCATCAGCGCACAGCACCAGTGTCAGTACAGCACCAGTATCAGTACATCACCAGCATCAGTACAGCACCAGTATCAGCACATCACCAGTGTCAGTACAGCACCAGTGTCAGTACAGCACCAGCATCAGCACAGCACCAGTATCAGTACAGCACAGTATCAGTACATCATATCAGCACAGCACCAGCGTCAGCATAAGCACCAGCATCAGTACAGCACCAGTATCAGCACATCACCAGTATCAGCACATCACCAGCATCAGTACATCACCAGCATCAGCACAGCACCAGCATCCGTCACAGCACCAGCATCAGCACAGCACCAGCATGCACCAGTACACATCACCAGCGCAGTACAGCACCAGTATCAGCACAGCACCAGTATCAGCACAGCACCAGCATCAGTACAGCACCGCATCAGCACATCACCAGTGTCAGTACAGCCTGCGTCAGTACAGCACCAGCATCAGCTACAGCACTGCGTCAGCACATCACCAGTATCGCACAGCACCACGCACCAGCACTCACCAGCACCGTCAGTACAGCACCAGTATCAGCACAGCACCAGCATCAGTACAGCACCAGTATCAGCACAGCACCAGTATCAGTACAGCACCCAGTATCAGCACAGCACCAGTATCAGTACAGCACCAGCATCAGCACAGCACCAGCATCAGGCAAAGCACCAGTGCCAGCACAGCACCAGCATCAGTACAGCCCAGTATCAGCACAGCACCAGTATCAGTACAGCACCAGTATCAGCAGCACCAGCATCAGCAAACACCAGTGTCAGTACAGCACCAGTGTCAGTACATCACCATGTCAGTACAGCACCAGTATCAGTACAGCACCAGCCAGTACAGCACCAGTGCAGCACAGCACCAGCGTCGCCCAGCACCTGCATCAGCAGCTCCAGCATCAGACACAGCCCAGTATCAGTACAGCACCAGCATCAGCACAGCACCAGCATCAGCACAGCCCAGTATCGCACAGCACCAAAGTCAGCACACAGCACCAGCATCAGCACAGCACCAGCATCAGCACAGCACCAGTATCAGCACAGCACCAGCATCAGCACAGCACCAGCATCAGTACAGCACCGCATCAGCACATCACCAGCATCAGCACAGCACCAGCATCAGCAAAGCACCAGCTCAGCACAGCACCAGTATCAGCGCCAGCACCAGCATCAGCACAGCACCAGTATCAGCACAGCACCAGTATCAGCACAGCCCAGCATCAGCACAGCACCAGTATCAGTACAGCACCAGTATCAGGCGCTACAGCACCAGCATCAGCACAGCACCAGCATCAGTACAGCACCAGCATCAGTACAGCACCAGCATCAGCACAGCACCAGCATCAGCACAGCACCAGTATCAGTACAGCACCGCTCAGCACAGCCCAGATCAGTACACAGCACCAGTATCAGTACAGCACCAGTATCAGTACAGCACCAGTATCAGCACAGCACCAGTCAGTAACGCTCAGCACAGCACCAGTATCAGCACGCACCAGCATCAGTACAGCACCAGTATCAGTGCACAGCACCAGTATCAGTACAGCCCAGCATCAGCACAGCACCAGTGTCAGTACAGCACCGTGCATCAGTACAGCACCAGTATCAGCACAGCCCAAGTTCAGCAACCAGCACAGCACCAGCATCACATGCACCAGCATCAGCACAGCACCAGCATCAGCACAGCACCAGCATCAGCACATCACCAGTATCAGCACAGCCCAGCATCACGCACAGCACCAGCGCGTCAGCACAGCACCAGTACTCAGTACAGCCCAGCATCGCACATCACCAGTGTACAGCACCAGTATCAGTACAGCACCAGCCGCGCACCGCACCAGGCATCAGCACAGCACCAGTATCAGTACAGCCCGCATCAGTACACCAGTGTCAGTACAGCACCAGTATCAGCACAGCACCAGCATCAGTACAGCACCAGCATCAGCACACACCAGCATCAGCACACCATCAGTACATCACCGTATCAGCACATCACCAGTATCAGCACAGCACCAGCACCAGCAAGCACCAGCATAGCACCAGTATCAGTACAGCACCAGTATCAGCACAGCACCAGTGTCAGCACAGCACCAGTCAGCACAGCACCGCATCAGCACAGCACCAGCATCAGCACAGCACCAGCACAGCACAGCACCAGTACCAGCACAGCACGTGCATAGCACCAGCATCAGCACAGCACCAGCATCAGCACAGCACCAGGCTATAAGCACCAGCGTCAGTACAGCACCAGCGTCAGCACAGCACCAGCACCAGCACAGCACCAGCATCAGCACAGCACCAGTATCGCAGCGACCAGCATCAGCACAGCAACAGCATCGCACAGCACCAGCATCAGTACAGCACCAGCATCAGTACAGCACCAGCACGCCAGTACAGCACCAGCGTCAGTACAAAGACCAGCACCAGCCCACAGCACCAGCATCAGTACAGCACCAGTACAGCACCAGTATCAGTACAGCACCAGCATCAGTACAGCACCAGCATAGCACCAGTATCAGCACAGCACCAGCATCAGTACAGCACCAGCATCAGCAGCCCGCACCAGTGCGTCAGCACAGCACCAGTATCAGCACAGCACCAGCATCAGCATCGCACCAGCATCAGCACAGCACCAGTACGCATCACCAGCATCATAAAGCACCCCAGCATCAGCACTGCGCACCAGCATCAGCACAGCACCAGTATCAGCACAGCACCAGCATCAGCACAGCACCAGTATCAGCACAGCACCAGCATCGCAGCACAGCACCGCATCAGCACAGCACCAGCATCAGCACAGCACCAGTATCAGCACAGCACCAGCATCAGCACAGCACCAGCATCAGCACAGCACCAGCATCAGTACAGCACCAGTGTCAGCACAGCACCGCATCAGTACAGCACCAGTATCAGCACAGCACCAGCAATCAGCACAGCACCAGTATCAGCACAGCACCAGCATCAGTACAGCACCAGCATCAGTACAGCACCAGCATCAGCACAGCACCAGCATCAGCACAGCACCAGCACGTACAGCACCAGCATCAGTACAGCACCAGCATCAGTACAGCACCAGCATCAGCACAGCACCAGCATCAGCACAGCACCAGCATCAGCACAGCACCAGTATCAGTACAGCACCAGTATCAGTACAGCACCAGCATCAGTACAGCACCAGCATAGCACCAGCATCAGTACAGCACCAGTATCAGCATACGCACCAGTATCAGTACAGCACCAGTGTCATCAGTACAGCACCAGTGTCACGCACCAGCACAGCACCAGTATCAGTACAGCACCAGTATCAGTACAGCACCAGTATCAGCACAGCACCAGTATCAGCACATCCCAGTAACAGTACAGCACCAGCATAGCACCAGCATCAGCACAGCACCAGCATCAGTACATCACCAGCATCAGCACATCACCAGTACCAGTACAGCACCAGCATCAGTACAGCACCAGCATCAGCACAGCACCAGTATCAGTACATCACCAGTACCAGTACAGCACCGCACAGTACACCAGTACCAGCATCAGCAATGCACGCACGCACCAGCATCAGTACAGCACCAGCATCAGCACAGCACCAGCATCAGCACAGCACCAGTATCAGCACAGCACCAGTATCAGTACAGCACCAGCATCAGCACAGCACACCAGCATCAGCACGTAACCAGCACCAGCACAGCATCAATCGTACAGCACCAGCATCAGCACAGTCACCAGTAGCAGCACAGCACCAGCATCAGTACATCACCAGTATCAGTACAGCACCAGTATCAGTGCACCAGCATCAGCACCAGCATCGCACACACCTCAGCACACACCAGCATCAGTACAGCACCAGCATCAGTCACACCAACATCAGCACAGCACCAGTATCAGTACACCGCGTCAGCACAGCACCAGCATCAGCACAGCACCAGCATCAGCACAGCACCAGCATCAGTACAGCACCAGCATCAGTACATCACCAGTATCAGCACACCCAGTGCCAGTACAGCACCAGTATCAGTACAGCACCAGCATCAGACACAGCACCAGTCGCCCAGCACAGTCAGCACCAGTATCAGTACAGCCCAGTATCGCTACAGCACCAGTGTCAGTACAGCACCAGCATCAGTACACACCAGCATCAGTCAGTACAGCACCAGTGTCAGCATAGCCCAGTATCAGTACAGCACCAGTGTCAGCATACAGCACCAGCGTCAGCACAGCCCAGTACCAGTGGCGAGCACCAGTGTCAGTACAGCACCAGTGTCAGTACAGCACCAGTATCAGTACACATCAGCAGTGCGTCAGTGGCTGCGCACCAGCATCAGTACAGCACCAGTGTCAGTACAGCCCAGCATCAGCACAGCACCAGCATCAGCACATCACCAGTGTCAGCACAGCACCAGTGTCAGTACAGCACCAGTATCAGTGCCAGCACCAGTGTTAGTACAGCACCAGTATCAGTGCCAGCACCAGTGTCAGCACAGCACCAGTATCAGTACAGCACCAGTGCCGCAATAGCTCCAGTATCAGTATTAAGCACTGCACGCCGCACATCATCAGTGTCAGTACAGCACCAGTGTCAGTACAGCACCAGCATCAGCATATTGTTAATTGTGCAGCATCAGTATGTGCACCAGTGTCGCACAGCACCAGCATCAGTACAGCACCAGCATCAGTACAGCAATTGCATTGGCACAGTACCAGTATCAGGCACATCACCAGTGTCAGTACAGCACCAGCAAGTCAGCACAGCAACAGCATCAGTACAGCCCAGTATCAGCAGCACCAGCAAGCCGCGGCTGGCACCAGCACCGCACAGCACCAGCATCAGTACAGCACCAGCATTGGTACAGCACCAGAATCAGCAAGGCAGCACCGCATGCGTGTTATCACCAGTGTCAGTACAGCACCAGTGCGTCAGTACAGCACCAGTATCAGTACATCACCAGCAAGCCGCGCACAGCACCAGTGTCAGTACAGCACCAGCATCAGTACAGCACCAGTATCAGTACAGCACCAGTGTCAGTACAGCACCCGGTATCAGGCACAGCACCAGTATCAGTACAGCACCAGTATCAGTACAGCACCAGCATCAGTACATCACCAGTGTCAGTACAGCACGCAGTGCCAGCAGCCAGCACCAGTATCAGTACATCACGCGCCAGCACAGCACCAGTGTCAGTACAGCACCAGCACGCGCATCACCAGTGCCGGGCACAGCACCGGTGCCGCGCAGCACCAGCATCAGTACAGCACCAGTGCCAGCACAGCACCGGTATCAGCACAAGCCCAGCATCAGCAGCACATCACCAGCAGCCGTACAGCACCAAAACAGCAAGGCGCACGCGCCGCGCACAGCACCAGCATCAGTACAGCACCGCATCAGTACAGCACCAGCATCAGCACAGCACCAGTATCAGCACATCACACCAGTATCAGTACAGCACCAGGTCAGTACAGCACCAGTATCAGCACAGCACCAGTGTCAGCAGCGCAGCACCAGCATCAGCGGCACCAGCATCAGCACAGCACTGTGTCAGTACAGCACCAGTATCAGCACAGCACCAGCACAGTACATCACACCAGCATCAGCACAGCACTGCGTCAGTATTAAGCACCAGCATTACCGCGTGCTACCCAGTATTGCGCACCAGTATCAGTACATCACACCAGCATCAGTACATCACCAGTGCCGCACAGCACCAGTATCGCGACAGCACCAGTGTCAGTACAGCACCAGCATCAGTACAGCACCAGTGCCGGGGGCACAGCTCCAGCATCAGTACAGCAGCACCAGTATCAGTACAGCACCAGTATCAGTACATCACCAGTGTCAGTACAGCACCAGTGTCAGCACACACCGTATCAGCACAGCACCAGGCCGCACAGCACCAGTATCAGTATTACACCAATATCAGTACAGCACCAGCATCAGTACACAGCACCAGTGCGTCAGTACAGCACCAGTATCAGCATACAGCACCAGTGAGCCGCGGCACAGCACCAGCAAGCCGCACAGCACCAGTATCAGCATTATCACCAGTATCAGTACAGCACCAGTATCAGTACAGCACCAGTATCAGTACAGCACCAGTGCCGCACACAACCAGCATCAGCACAGCACCAGCATCAGCAATACAACCAGCGTCATCAGCACAGCACCGCATCAGCACAGTACCAGCATCAGCACAGCACCAGCATCAGCACAGCACCAGCATCAGTACACAGCACCAGCATCAGCACATCACCAGCGTCAGCACAGCACCAGCATCAGCACAACACCAGCAACAGCATCACCAGTATCAGCATATAATTGTGCGCATCAGCACAGACACCAGCATCAGCACAGCACCAGCATCAGCGTACATCACCAGCATCAGTTCATCACCAGCATTCAGTGCCAGCACCAGCATCGCACAGCACCGCATCAGTACAGCACCAGCATCAGCACAACACCAGCATCAGTACATCACCAGCACAGTTCATCACCAGTATCAGTACAGCACCAGTATCAGCACAACACCAGTATCAGCACATCACCAGCACGCGTTATCACCAGTATCAGCACAGCACCAGTATCAGCACAGCACCAGTATCAGTACATCACCAGTGCCGCGACATCACCAGAACAGCACAGCACCAGTATCATGCGTACAGCACCAGCATCACACCAGTATCGCATCACCAGTATTCGCACAGCACCAGCATCAGTCCTGGCAACGTATCGCCAGGTTATCACCGGCATCTGCAGTTGAGCACCAGCATCAGTACAGCACCAGTGCCCGCATGAACACCGCATCAGTTCATCACCAGTATCAGTTCATCACCAGCATCAGTACATCGCCAGTACCAGTGCGCACCAGCATCAGCACATCGCCAAAGCCCAGCACAGCACCATATCAGTAGCACCAGCATCAGCACACAGCTTCAGCATCAGCACATCACCAGTATCAGTTCATCACCAGTATCAGTACATCGCCAGTAATTGTGCACATCACCAGTATCGCTATTAACGTAGTACCAGCGGCTGCGCCACCAGTATCAGCACATCACCAGTATCAGTACATCACCAGCACCAGCACATCACCAGCATCAGTACACATCGCCAGTACCACTACAGCACCAGCATCAGCACATCGCCAGCACACCAGCACAGCACCAGTATCAGTATAGCACCAGCATCGCGCCAGCCAGCATCAGCACATCACCAGCATCAGCACATCGCCAGCACCAGCACAGCACCAGCATCAGCACATCGCCATACCTGTGCAGAGCACCAGCATCAGCACAGCACCGCATCAGCACATCACCAGCATCAGTTCATCACCAGCATCAGCACAGCACCAGTGCCGCACAGTTCAGTACGCACATCACCAGTATCAGTTCATCACCAGTATCAGTACAGCTTCAGTATCAGTACAGCACCAGTATCAGCACATCGCCAGCACCAGCACAGCACCAGTGTCAGTTCAACAGTATCAGCACATCACCAGTATCAGTTCCGGTCACCATATCGCGTCAGCACCAGTGTCAGTACAGCACCAGTATCAGTACAGCACCAGTATCAGTACATCACCAGCATCATGCACATCACCAGCATCAGTTCATCACCAGCATCAGCATGTTAATTGGTGCGTCAGTACAGCACCAGCATCAGCACATCGCCAGCACCAGCAATAAGCACCAGCATCAGCACATCATATCGTTCATCACCAGTACGCGGCAACGAAAGTGCGTCAGTACAGCACCAGTATCAGTATAGCACCAGTATCAGTACAGCACCAGTATCAGTACATCACCAGTATCAGTTCATCACCAGTATCAGTACAGCACCAGTGTCAGTACAGCACCAGTATCAGTACATCACCAGTATCAGTTCATCACCAGTATCAGTACATCGCCAGCACCAGTACAGCACCAGTATCAGTTCATCACCAGTATCAGTACATCGCCAGCACCAGTACAGCACCAGTATCAGTACAGCACCAGTATCAGTACATCACCAGTATCAGTACATCACCAGCATCAGTTCATCACCAGTATCAGTACAGCACCAGTGTCGGTACAGCACCAGTATCAGTACATCGCCAGCACCAGTACAGCACCAGTATCAGTACAGCACCAGTATCAGTTCATCACCAGTATCAGTTCATCGCCAGCACCAGTACAGCACCAGTGTCAGTACAGCACCAGTATCAGTAATATCACCAGCATCAGTTCATCACCAGTACCAGTACAGCACCAGTGTCAGTACAGCATATTTTGTTAATCACTTTTGGTCAATACATTGCAGGCTCTGCTCGAACAAAAGAATTTTTGTTAATTTCAATATTTTATTACCATACATTGTGTTGTATTCGTGGGCTTTTAATAAATACAACGAGAAGAGATAATCTTGACTATATGTGCGTTTGGGGGAAAATATATTGTCAAACAGACTCGACCAACAGTATAATAACAGATATCTGCGGGACTGAAGCCTGTGCACTATCTACGGGTAGACTACAGTATATCTTCTTGAGCATAAGTAAAGAAAATAAAACAAAGAAAAATTGTACAAACAAGAGAACATTCTTCCTCAGGTCTGTAACGCCCGGAGTTTTAAACACTCTTTGTCGTTGGAGAGAGTCGTCGTGTTTCAACTTAAGTTTAAAAAAATGACTTCAGGAAGGACACCGTGACAGTACTTGAATGAAGTAATTTTACCGCCACACCACCACAAATGTCAAGTACTTTTTTGTTTTTGTTTTTTATTGGGCATCCCCCCAACATCCTTGTGTAAGGTGAAGTGCAGAAGCGTTTACAGCGTCCAACAGGGAAGCATGCTAAGTTCATGCTTGCCTTATGTCTCACGAGTGAAGGGCGTAGAAGCCTGAAGAGTCAACGGTTTATGTCTAAGCAAGTTATTGGAAGCTCCAACAACTTGTCCCTGAATACGAATTCGCAATTTTCGATTTACACCAGGTACCTACTTTGCTGCTAGGTGAACAGGGACCAAGGGGACTAGGAAGAGTGCCCAAACAACTTCCGCCGGCCCGGGAATCGATCGAACCCGTGACATCTTGCTTGCGAGGCAACAGCGGTACCGCTCCACCAGCGCCTCCCCCCCCCTCGTCAAGTACTGTACTGAGGTGTCTTTCAGGAATATATTTTTTTAAACTCGGGTTGAAACACGATGACCCTCCTCAACGGAAGAGGGTGTTTAAAACTTCGGGCGTAACAAGCTTGTATTGACGACACGACCAAGATAGTTTCCAAAACCCAAATTTCCCTCCAAAATATTATTTGATGAGCGATGCGCTTTGGGGGGGGGGGAGGGGCGGGAAATCCCCACGGAGTCAACAACAGTTCTGAGAAGTCACTGATCACCATACATCCTCCTCCGAGAACACCAAGGTCTTGAGTAACATAAATTCACCTTTCTTTGAGCTCATAAACATCAACGCAAAAGGATGTCGACAGCATAATGGCAGCTGTAATTTCGGCGGGAGAAGGAGCTGGCAGCACGGCGCCGTTATCCCGCCTCGAGCTTTGAAGACCAACACGGGGAGCAAAGGTGAAGTAAGGTGGGCGTGAGGGTGATGGAGGGTGGGCGGGGGCAGCGAGGTCTCTCTCCACGGTCCTCAAGTAGTAAGGTATACGGCCGCCCGTCACAGCTGTCATGCGGAGGTTAATAGTGAAGAATAAGGGGAGAGCGCGCCTCTCTTACACACTCACCCTCGTGCTACACTTTTACTCACTCTTCCGTAGTTTTACACTTGTTGTTCCTGAAGAGTGTACAGGGGGGTCGCATACTGTTAATTTTACAGGGTTGATATTAAAGTGGGCCCGTAAGTGTACAGGTCTGTTAGAGGCAGTACAGTGCAGGTACAACAAACTAAAAAAAATTCGGTATACAAGGAGGCAGTGTGACCAGCACTGCATTATACATCTTTCACTTCCCCCAGCTGTCAAGTTCGGTACTTATTCAGAAGAGACAAGGGGCGGCCGTGTACTAGCAACCCTGAGGACAGAAGGCAAGAGCTGTATCCACTCGACCACTGTAAGGTAAACATTCTCTCTTAATAGCACGAGAGAAACATCTAATCATGCAATAGTATTTAAGAACATTTCCTTCGCCATTTTATTCACAATCATTGAACTGTATAACTGGCAGCGGATGTGTTCTTCAGTCACCAATTACGGGAAATAACTAAACCTACAGTCACAGTGTCTCAGGTGCAGTGGCTGGCGCATTTTATAAGATGTGGCAGCTCTGTTTGTTTACATTACACTGATTACAGTATACTAAAACTCCTGGAATGGCCCTAAAGAACCTCGCAATAGTAGCCAGACTAAGGATGTTAAATAACCATTCCACAGAGTTGCCATATCTCACAAAACGCACCACACACTGTACCAGGTATAAGTGCAAGCGACTGTACATCTGAGTAACCATGACAAGGTGCACAGTTTGTTATCTGACTTGAGGACATGATTCTGTCAACATCATCAGCTGACATGACTACAGGAAGGACACAAGACATGACTGTGAGACTCATTACATGTTCGGAAATTTATTGGGAGACAACAACAACAACAGCAACAACAACAACAACAACAACAATAACAACCATACTATCATCTACAATCAAATCTCAACCACAACCAAAATAATAATTACAATCACAACACTACAACAACGAAAATAACGACAGCCACCAACACCAATACAACCACAACACTACAACAACCAGAACAAAACACTTAAACAACCAAAACAGTAATTAAAATACAACACTGAAACCACAACACCAAAACTATCAAAATAATAACTACAACCAATACTAAAACAACCACAAAACCACAACAGCCAATATAACAACAACCACAATTAAAACAAACACTTTAACAATGAAAAAACGGCTACAACAACACTAAAACAACCAGAACAACAACAACCACAACAACATTCAACAATCACAACACTCAAATCACCAACAACAACCACAACAACCACAACAACCACCACCAACAACCAGCAGGCAGGGACCTTAGTATGGCTGCACCAGATACGGTCATTATTGTGCATCTTGTGACAAGTTTACTGCAAAGAATAAAGTTTTTCTGGAGGCGCTGGAGTGTGTGTGTGTGTGTGTGTGTGTGTGTGTGTGTGTGTGTGTGTGTGTGTGTGTGTGTGTGTGTGTGTGTGTGTTTTTGTTTGTGTGTGTGCTGGAGGTTCTGTGTGTTTATGTATGTTTGTATGTGCAATAGTAGGAGTGGTATAATGACTGTCTATTTGTGTACATGAATGGTATAATGACGTCTACTTTGTGCACAGGAGTGGTATAATGACTGTCTATTTGTGTAGCGGAGTGATATAAAGACTATTTGTGTACATGAATGGTGGTATAATGACTCTATTTGTGACTGTCTAGCTTTGTGTTCAGGAATGGTATAATGACTGTCTATTTGTGGAAGCGGAGTGGTATAATGACTGTCTATTTGTGTACATGATGGTATAACGACTGTCTATTTGTGTACAAGAGTGGTATAGACTGTCTATTTGTGTGAGTGTAATGACTATTTGTGTACATGAATGGTATAATGACTCATTTGTGCACAGGAGTGGTATAATGACTGTCTATTTGTGTTCAGGAATGGTATAATGACTGTCTATTTGTGTACAGGAGTGGTATAATGACTGTCTATTTGTGGAGTGGTATAATGGTATAATGACTGTCTATTTGTGTACAGGAATGGTATAATGACTGTCTATTTGTGTACAGGAGTGGTTTAATGGTATAATGACTGTCTATGACTGGTATAATCTATTTGTGTACAGGAGTGGTATAATGACTCTATATGTGCACAGGAGTGGTATAATGACTCTATATGTGCACAGGAGTGGTGTAATGACTGTCTATTTGTGCACAGGAATGGTATAATGACTGTCTATTTGTGTACAGGAGTGGTATAATGACTCTATATGTGCACAGGAGTGGTGTAATAACTGTCTATTTGTGTACAGGAGTGGTATAATGACTGTCTATATGTGTACAGGAGTGGTATAATGACTGTCTATTTGTGTAGCGGAGTGGTATAATGACTCTATATGTGAACAGGAATGGCACAATGATAGGGACTGTATTATAGAGAAATGAACCATCACTTGAGGTAACTTTCCCTTCAGTTTATTATATGGACTTGACGCTTTAAAATATACAAATAAACATTACCTCTGGTCACTAACCTCGTAAACACGTAACACTACTGTCACCCCTATAATGTTTTCACTGTACGACTTATTTTTTAGCATTTTATTATAACAATTGTATATACTTAAATTATATAAGTGAAGGATTTACTGATTATTAAGTACACACTACCATTCAGTATTCTACTATTTGTATAAACATTTCAGTCTGAATCACCCTGTTTATTACCATACAGTGTTTATCATCATACAGTGTTTATCATCATAAATTGTTTATCATCATATAGTGTTTATCATCATACATATTTGATCTCATACACCTAATCAGAGTGTCGTCAATTGGGTGACTTAAAACAATAAACCTCTTTCAAGTAGCGCTGAGAATGAACTAATCCAACTAATGTTTTTATTGACAGTGAATTTATCTGTTTTATTTTCATGTTTAACGTTGAAAAATTCTCTCGCCAACAGCAGCAGAACTTGGATGTGGGAGGCTTGTGGGTGTGTGAGCTGGAGGTCTTGTGGGTGTGTGAGCTGAAGGTCTTGTGGGTGTGTGAGCTGGAGGTCTTGTGGGTGTGTGAGCTGGAGATCTTGTGAGTGTGTGAGCTGGAGGTCTTGTGGGTGTGTGAGCTGAAGGTCTTGTGGGTGTGTGAGCTGGAGGTCTTGTGGGTGTGTGAGCTGGAGATCTTGGGAGTGTGGAGCTGGAGGTCTCAGGGGTGTGTGTGAGCTGGAGGTCTCAGAGCAGAGCTGGGAAGTCTTGTGGGTGTGAGCTGGAGGTCTTGTGAGTGTGTGAGCTGGAGGTCTGTGAGTGTGTAGAGCTGGTAGGTCTAGACTCTGCCGTGTAGTGTGTGAGCTGGAGATCTTGT